TGTGTCGATCAACTCTAATGGTTCGTATCTGCGATACAGACACAAGGCGCTATCTAATAGCAATTGTCTGAACTAAAACGTAACACAACACCATTCGAATGACCCTATTTACCCTACTAGGGTAGTGGCTCAGCTACTGCTAGGCGTGGAATTTTTAAGTAATATTTTTACTGAAGTTAAAAAGTCCTCCGAACTTGAGAACAGCTTCTTTTGTTCTTGAAAAAAGTTCATGCTCAGATGTTGAATACAAAAAGTTCTCAGAAGCACAGCACAAATTTTTGTCTATTGGAAAAAGTTCTAAAAAGCGTAGACCCTTTCTAACTTGTGTTTGTGTCGATCACAAGATTGCATTACCACTAATTGGTCGAATCTGCCGTACAGACGCATGGCGCCATCTAATAGCAATTTTCACAACTAAAACGTAATATTACGCCATTTTAACCGAACGCCCCTATTCACCCTACTAGACTAGGCATGGATTTTTAAATAATAATTTGCTTCTTCTTAAAAAAGTCCATCATCAGAAGCTGAGCACAGATTTTTTCCATTGAAATAAAGTCCTTAGATACTAAACACAGATTTTATCCATAGAAAACAGTCCACAGAAGCTGAGCACAAATTTTTTTTTTGAAAGCGATTGGTTAGTTTTTTTCTACTGAAATAAGTCCTCAGAAGATGAGCACAGATTTTTATCCTGAAAACAAGTCCTAAGAAGAGGAGAGAACTTTTTCGCATTGAAAAAATCCCAAAAACTGAGTACGTATATTTTTTATTGAAAAAAGTCCTGAGAAGCTGCGGATAATTTTTCCATAGAAAAAATCTTCAGAAGCTGAGGAAAGATTGTTGGCTATAGAAAATAGGCCTACGAATAATATTTCTACATGTTAAGAATATTATTAAAGGTGTATATAAACCTTGTACGGGAATCTTTTAAATAATATTTTTATGCTCGATAGCACAGATACGAAGGAGACATATGTTGCAAGTAGAGCCATCTACACTTCACTATCGTTATCAACGATAACATTTTTTAGTTTGTGACTCCGCTATAGATCACATTTTGGCACTTACAATTCTCTATGGACGGTTCATGCCTATGATACAGACAAGGGGCGTCATCTGACGTCAATCGTCTCAATTAAAAATAATGTGACATAATTTTAACCGAGTGTCCCTATTTACCCTACTAGTGTAGTATCATGGCCTTAGGCTGGATTTTCAATTTTTAAATAGTATTTTTAGATCTCATCAGAGCCTTTTTAGAGCACTATCAGAGCCTTAGGCGTGGATTTTTTAAATACTAATTTTAGACCACTATCTGAGCCTTAGGCGTGGATTTTTTAAATACTAATTTTAGATCACTATCAGAGCCTTAGGCGTGGATTTTTTAAATACTAATTTTAGACCACTATCTGAGCCTTAGGTGTGGATTTTTTAAATACTAATTTTAGATTACTATCAGAGCCTTAGTCGAGGATTTTTAAATACCAGTTTTAGACCACTATCAGAGCCTTAGGCATGGATTTTTTAAATATCCTTTAAAACATTTTATCTGTGTAAACGATAAAATTTTTCTGATGAAATTTCCTTTCCCACACCCCAAAAGAAAATCTAATAAATTCACCCATACATCCATCAATCAGATCAAGAGGCAGATTGTTTGTATGTTTTGCACCCCACGCCATCTATCACCAGTCGTATTCGATTGATTTCAATTTAATACACTTTAAATAAACATTAACAAAATTAGAAAATTTATTTCAATGTAATTTACGAAACGAAAATAAATATCAAAACAGGAGAAAGAAAAAAAACGAAAACAAAAAAGAAATTGACTACAGATTTAATTTTGGCAAATGTTTTAAGAAATCAAAGTCCAATCGCTAATCAATTACACACACACATGTGACTAACAACATATTCGATTTGAAAATAAATAGAAAAAACTGAAAACTATTTTTAATTGATACAAAATCAAGATCAAGAAACAAAAATCCTGAAAAATGTAGGTGAAGTTTAAATCGGTAAAAATAAACTTTATTTTTTTTTAATTAATTAAATTGCAATACCCTATTTAATTTAATTTCAATGTTCTATCATTTTAATTTACTAATAAAAATATAGACAAATGAAAATTCTTTTCCAATGTATTCCAGTTCTTTAAAATGCCTAAAAGTATGCAACACTTTGGGTATGATGCCGTCCAATTCATTTGCAGTTTAGTAATATCGTAAACTACAGATACGATAGGAGAAGTTCTAATCAAAAAAATATTTTTAAATTTACCTTCTGCTGAACTATAGCTTCCCAATGGATTAATAATTTAATTTTGGAGAAATTTTTCGATGACCTCAAAAATTATTTTGATCATGTTTGCAATTTTCTGTTCTATTTTAAAATATAAATAATTCAATTTCAAATATATTGATTTATATTTTTAAAAATCTATGTGTACATGAGTGTGGGTGTGTGTATTTCTGCCCACACTGTACCCAAATAGCCATGAAATATGAAACCAAATCCCCCATGGAGAATGCTCTGGTAATAATAATTGACCGAACAAAACTTAAAGCAAATGGCCAACCCTCTGATAGCCTCTCCAACGGGGGGTATTTCATAGTTTATGACCTCGTGTGACTTAATAACAGAAATTGTGCAAATGTTTTGGAAATGAAATAATTTCCGCTCATATGAAAATAAAAAAAAAATGTACACACATACAGTGGGAATGGCAATGAAAAAAAATTGTTAGAAACTGAGGTCCGATTTTCAGAAAAAATACCTCAAATGCTGTGGTTACATTTATCTATAGAAAAAAATGTCATCAGAAGCTGAGGCCCATCTTGTTTTTTATAGGAAAAAAATCTTCAGAAGCTAAGGTCTATTTTTTCATAAAGCTGAGGCCAATTTTTCTAATGAAAACAAAGTCCTCAGAAGTCGAACACATATTTCGTAAGAAAAAGTCCTCAGATGCTTAGCACACATTGTTTACTATTGACAAAATACTCAGAAGCTGGACACAGATTTTTTCTACTGAAAAAATGTCCTCAAAAGCTGTGCACAGATTTTTTTACTATTGGAAAAAGTCCTCTGAAGCTGAGCATATATTTTTTCTATTGAAAAAAGTTCTTTGAAGCTGAACAAAATTGCTTTCTTTTATAAAAAGCTGAGTCCAGATGTTTTCCTAATGAAAATATTCCTAAAAGGCTAATGACAGATTTTTTTAATGAAAAAAAGTCCTAAGAAGCTTAGGACATTTTTTTCTTAGATACTGAGGACAAAATAATATTTATAGAACAATATCAGATTTGTTAATAAAGCAGTTATGAACTGTTATGAACCAGAAGGTATTACAAACCGCGCCATCTACACTTCACTTCCGGCATTTTCAATTTTGTAGCAATTCACCACTGATGGTTTTGCGCTACAGACATGAGACGCCATATAATACCATTTGTTTCAACTAAAGCATAATATGTCACCATTTTAACCGAATACACCTATTCATTCTACTAGTGTAGAAGCTGGGCCTAAATTTTTTCTGAAGTTAAAGAACTCCTCAGAACCTGCGAACGGATTTTTGCTACTGAAAAAAAGTCCTTAGAAGCTGAGCACAGATTTTTTCTGTGGAAACAAGTCCAAAGAAGCTGAGCATACATTTTCTCTATGGAAGAAAGTCCTCAGAAGCTGAGCACAGATCATTTTCTATTGAAAAAAAGTCCCCGGGGGTTGAGCAAATATTATTTTCTATTATTTTCTAATATTTATATAACAATATCGGCAATATAAGAACAGCGCCATCTACACTTGATTTCTGGTATCAATTATATCATTTTACAGTTTGTGGCTGTGTCGATTACATGGTTGTATTTACAATTCACCACTGATCGTATCAGCGCTACAGACACAAGGCGCCATCTGAACGTAATTGTTGGAACTATAACGTAATATGACATCATTTTAAGCGAATGCCCTTATTCATCCTACTAGAGTAGTTAAGAGAGTTGAATTTTAAACAATAGCTTAGAATTCTTATGTATTATTTTCAGACCACAATCAGAGCGTGGATTTTTTAAATAATATTTTTAGACCACTAGCAGAGCTTTAGGCGTGGATTTTTTAAATAATATTTTTCCAACACTTTCAGAGCCTTAGGCGTGGATTTTTTAAATAATATTTTTCCAACACTATCAGAGCCTTAGGCGTGGATTTTTTAAATAATATTTTTCCAACACTATCAGAGCCATAGGCGTGGATTTTTTAAATAATATTTTTCCAACACTATCAGAGCCATAGGCGTGGATTTTTTAAATAATACTTTTCCAACACTATCAGAGCCTTAGGCGTGGATTTTTTAAATAATTATCTGAGCCTTATAAAACAACGCCATCTACATTTCACTTCATGCATAAACGACATTCCATTCTGGTTTGTGGCTGTGCTATCGATCACATGGTTACACATACAATTCACCAATCATAATGTGACGACAATTGTCTGAACTAAAACGTAATATGAAACCATTTGAATCGAATGCCCATATTTATCCTACTACAGAAGTATCAGAGCCGTACGAATGTTTTTTGGAGCAGAATTCAAACCTTAGGATTGCATATTTTAAACAATATTTTTCGAGCATTATCCGAGCCTTAGGAGTGGATATTTTTATTAGAATTTATAGAGCAATATCATTACATTTTATTTGGATTTTTAAATCCTATTTTAAAGTTATATAACAGTCTTTGACTTGGTTATTTGAAATAATATTTTTTTCAAAGAACTGGTATCATTATAATTTAATTTTCTCCTCCCGTCTTTTGAGGATTTTCATTATTAATTTATTTCTCAAATATTATTTCATTCTCAAAAACTTGATTGCATGTTTGTTTTTATATGTAATTTTCTTATTTGGTGTAAAAATAATAACATTTATTTCGTTTATTTTCTTATACTAATCAAATTCTTGGAATTAATTTTCATTTTTTTCTCTATCTTTACAGCCCACGTGGCGGGTATGGGGTGAAGAAAAGGATACCGACATCATTTATACAGTATACCTGAAAAAGGTGTGCTACCATCGACCTACACCCTCAGCAGCCAATGTAAGTATCCTTCGTGTGCCAAGCACGATATGTATTTTCGGTTTTCAAGTTGAGTTGTTTGCTGTCGTAGTTATTTGTGTAATGATTTATTTGAACTATCAGTTGACGTTCAAGGATAGATGGCAGTGTCACTGCCATTAGCTCTAATTGGAGAAAATACATTTTTGGGGAGAAAAAAGCTAAATGTGTTTGTTTTTATTTTTGTTGAAAGACCAATGACCGGACGTTATTGGAAATGAAGGATTTTTTTATTTTGGCATTGGGAGGAAGGAGTTTATTATTCAATATTAAAAAGGGAAATTGGACATAAGCAGGATTGTACTTCTAATTATTTATTAAAGAACCTAAATAAAATGGGGATTTTAAAAAATATTTTAATGTACTCAGGCGTGGAGTTATAAAAAAAAATATTTTTTCCAGTAGATTTCAGGCGTGGATTAATCAAATATTTTTCAAGAACACATCAGAAACCTTGCATTTCAAGGACCCTAAACGGTTGCACCTAAAATCAGCATTAACGAACGGTTCGTGTCTACGCTAAGACGCTATGTGCCATTTGACGACAATTTTCTGAACTAAAAAGTAGTGTGACACCATTTTAACCGAATGCCCCTATTTACCCTACTAGAGATTTTTATTCTTAAATAATAGTAGTAAAGAGGTTTTAGGTGTGGATTTTTTAAATAATATTTTAGAGCAGTATCAGAGTCGTAATATTTTGAATGATTTCCGAAAGCCTTGGTTTTAAAAGAAAATATTTTTACTGTTGTTCTTTCATTTCAGCCCGATTCCGAAGATGACATCTCCTATCTGGAATGGGAAATGGTCAGAGTTCGTTTTGTTAAGGCGGCCACCTTGGAACGCCTTGTCGAAGCTCTGGCCACCGATGATGGTGAATTGGAATCGACCTTCATCAACGTTTTTCTCAATACCTATCGTACCTTTTCAACGCCCAAAGAAGTTCTTGGTCTATTCATAAAACGTTTCAATGCGCTAACGGAAAAGCAACGTATCGAAGACATCAAACATAAAGATGATGTCGATTACGATCCCAGCGCCACGATACATGAACAGCACAAAAAAACTCTAGTCTCGGTGTGGAAAATGTGGCTGAACGGATTTCCCGAAGATTGGAATGAAGAGAATCTCCGATATTTAATATCCTTCACAAGTAAACATTTACCCAATTCTGATCTGCATTCACGAGCCCTCAATCAATTGGAAATGATATTACGCCAGCAAGTGTACAGTAAAAAAAGTCTGCCACCATGGTTGGGTGATCAATTTGCCGATTTATATTTGGCTCCTGAGTTTCAGAGGCGTGCCTGCTTCCTAGAGACCTATCGTTTTCCGCGCATCGATGTGCGGCATTTTGCCGAACAGCTGACGCGTATGGATTGTGATTTGTTTAAGAAGGTGATATCACATCAGTGTTTGGGCGCCACGTGGTCGCGACGATCGCAGGGTTGCTGTGAAACGGTGGTGGCGACAGTAACACAATTCAACGAGGTCTTATATCGAGTCATAACAAGTATACTGATAGAGAGAGCTTTGGAACCACAGGTGGGTGTTGGAAAATACATAATTTTGGGACCGGAATTTTTAATTTTATTTTCTCATTCCAGGAAAGAGCGGTGTATATAGCAGTATGGATAGATATAGCTCAAGAACTGAGGTTACTTAAGAATTTTTCTTCCCTAAAAGCCATTGTCACAGGTCTGAATTCATCGGCTATTTATCGTTTAAGTAAAATCTGGAGTGTATTGCCAAAGGAAAAGGTGAGAGTTGGGAAAATCGATATTCCGTCTTAAGAGGATTTTTTCAACGACCTCTAATAAGAGTGGATTTTTAAAATAATTTTCAATGACCTCTAATAGGCGTGGATTTTTAAAATAATTTTTTCTATGACCTCTAATAGGCGTGGATTTTTAAAATAATTTTTTCTATGACCTCTAATAGGCGTGGATTTTTAAAATAATTTTTTCTATGACCTCTAATAGGCGTGGATTTTTAAAATAATTTTTTCTATGACCTCTAATAGGCGTAGATTTTTAAAATATTTTTGTTCTATGACCTCTAATAGGCGTAGATTTTTAAAATAATTTTTTCTATGACCTGAAAAATCTAATATTTTATTGTGTTTTGTATTTGATTCCAGTTGGAAATCTTCCAAGAATTAGCCAGAATTTGTTCGGAGGATAATAATGCCTCAGTTCAAAGAGAGTTGCTAATACGGGAGGGTACAGCGAAATTTGCCGAAACTGTGGGAGAAAACGATCGTCACATGCAGAAGATAATACAGAAACAGGTATGTTTCCGAACTTCTATATTTTCTATAACAACTTCGATTAATCAATCCTTCCCTCTCTCACATTTCCAGAGTACCCACACGTCACACGGTACAATACCCTATTTGGGGACGTTCCTTACCGATTTGACAATGATACATCAAGCCAACCCCGATACCGTGGGTGAAGATAATCTCATCAATTTCGAAAAGAAACGTAAAGAATTTGAAGTGCTGGCCAAGATAAAACTTCTACAAGGAGCAGCTAATACCTATAATTTAGAAGAAGATCCGCTATTCAATCGTTGGTTTTATTCAATGCCTGTACTGACAGAGGAGGATGCCCACACATTATCCTATCAGTTGGAACCACCACCACCAACGGCACCACGAAAAAGTAACACCTCCTCAAATATGTCTTCGGCAAATTCCTCAATATTGGGTCATCGGAAAACCGATTCGATTGCTTCGAACTCCAGCAGCGGGGCGGGATCACAATTCTATTGTGAAATTAGTTCACACAATAGTTCAAGGCACAATTCCCTGGATCGAGAGGCTCACAATAATCATATGTCGGCGACAAGTAGTGTGTCGAATTTATCTTTGGACTCCAGTAATTCGGGAGGGGGTTTGAATAAGTCAAAAATGATTCATTCACAAAGTTCAAATGGTCTACTGAGAAGTAGCCATGGTTCGACAAGTGGATCACACACGCCAACTCATGTTGGATCGCCCTTGATTAATGCCCAAGTCGTTAATTCACCGGGAGCCAATGCCGATTTTTATATTGTAAAAATTACCCTCGAAACGGAAACAATGCCTCAGGATGGTATTGTGGTGTACAAAAGTATGATGGTGAAAAATAATGAACGCACCCCGCAAGTGATACGCAATGCTCTAATGAAATTGGGTATTGAAGATGAAGCCGATAATTATACGTTGGCCCAACGACTGCCCGATAAAGATGTTGATTTGCCCCGCAATGCCAATGTGTTTTATGCCGTGGTGGTAAATAAGAATTTCGAATTACGGTTTATTTTGAAACCAAATCCGGAGCGTATGACAAATGGTGGTGGAGTAGGTGGTGGTATTCATGGTAGCCACGGTGGCAGTCGTAGTAGTCGCAGCAGCAATAGCTAGTGGTTAACTAAGACCCTGTAAAAATATGGGGTCTTGAAATATTGCTATGGACTAAAACGAAAAAGGAGAAGAAAAGGAAAACAAGTAACGCAGAGCGTCGTATATGCCGACATGGGTGCTTCAAACTGTTTCGTGTATTGGAAATTTCGAAACCCATCTACAACAAGTTTGGTTTGTTTTGAGCTGTCATATGTAAGAAGCCATGTGAATGGAAAACTGACAAAAACAGACACACACACAAATTCGTTTATAAGTATATACATATTTATATATAAATTTAGTTGTATTATATATCTATTATTTTTGTATTTTGTATGTAACCACAATGTCGAAATGCGGTGTTTTTGGTGTATAAAAGTGAGGTTAGAATTTAAGTAATAGTTCAAAACTGCCCATATATGAGCCTTAAATGTTGGCTTGTGTGAAATTTTTGTCCAATAGAGGAATTGATAAATTGATTAAGCAGAAGTTTGGAGATGAAATTGCAGGGTATATATTTTTGAATCAGTAGAATTTCTTTTATGGGTATTATGAGTCCAACAGGAACGTGAAATAATAAGCATATATTCCCTAAACTTGCCATGGTTTATGTCATAAATCTCAAAACGAAGAGTTAGAGTTGTTTTCCCAGCCAAGTCAAAAAATTAAGGTTTATGGGCTCGGAAAACGGTTCAGATGTCTTCTTGAAAAAATAATTTACTTTCTTGGTTGCCATGTTCGGAAGCATAATGCAAAACTGCCCAGTTAAAAATCTTATGGAACCGATTTTATAAATTGCTGCTAGGCAATAGCGTAGTAGTCAATCGGAATTTAAGGGTTAGAAGGAAATCGTGACAAGAATTAAATGAGAGATTATAAACTCTGAACCTTGAGACGTTATTGGCGTAGCCCCGACAAGACCAGACTCAACTCAAAATTCCATGTGTTGTAGACCCTCAACCATTAGAGAATCAAGTTTCTAGATTAGTTATAAACGATCCGACGTACATTACAATATTTTCATAAACTTCAATCAATTTAGACGCAATAAGATCCATATGCGACCTTGCGACTGGCTTTATGGACCCAAACTAATAGAAAAATTATTTTCTATATCCGACCCGTATGAAATTTGAAGATTTCAATATTTGTTAGTGCTTCGACCCAACATTTAAGACCCAATGTTAAAAGACCCGACCCAATTATTGATGTTTCCACAGCAGTTTAGACACAATAAGACCCACAGCCAGCGGTTGACTTTATAGACCCAAACTAATACAAAATTTATTTTGTAGATCCGACCCGTATGAAATTTTGAGATTTCAATATTTGTTAAAGACCCGACCCGATTAACATTAAAGACCCGAACCAATTGTTGATATTGCCATATCAATTTAGACTCGATAAGACCCAAATCCAGCCATGCGACTGGTTTCATTGACGCACATTAATAAACAATTTATTATCTGGACCCGAATGTAATAAGACCCGACTCAATTATTAATAGTTTCATATCAATTTAGGCTCAATAAGACCCCTTACTAGCCCTGCGACTAGGTTTATAGACCCAAAACTAATAGAAAATTTATTTTCTAGATCCGACCCGACCTGTATGGAATTTTTTAGATTTGTCACTGCGACAACTAAAGACGTTTGTGCCCTTAAGTATGAGTTTGCCAGACCCTATGTGACCCTGCCTTCAACCATATAAGTTATTTGGAACCTATGTGTTTCAACTTTTAGACCCGACCCAATTGGAATAACTTGAATTTTATGTGATTCAACTTCTAGGCCTGTCCCGATTGTTAGTTATTCGAAGCTTATATGCTTTGTGCCAAGACCCGACTCACAATTTTGATATTTTCTATATCATTTCAGACCCATTTCAAGGTCTGGGACTTGTTTTATAGACCCATATAAGTAGAAGCGTTGTCTTCTGGATCCGACCCGAGCCAATTACCAATTTAATTACTCGAAACGTATATGCTTTGCGAGAAGACCCGACCCGACCCAACATATTTATATTGTTTATTTCATTTCAGACCCACTAAGACCCATTTCCAGTTCCGTGGCTGGCTATATAAATACTAATTTTTTGCAAGCTTTGTCTTCTAGAACTGACCCCACCCAAAAGTGATAAAACAGTTGTTCAAGCCATTCGGTTTCAACTGATAGACCCGACACGACCCATTGCCAATGTTTGTATGGGATTTGAAGCGTATATGCTTTGTGACTTTTTATATCATTTCATACTCACCAGGACCCATTTCAAGATCTGTGACTGGTTTTATAGACCCAGATTAGTAGAAGCGTTGCCTTCTGGATTCGACCCGACCCAAAAAAGATGAACCATTTGTTAAAACAATAATGGTTCAACTGCAAGACCCGACCCGACTCATTACCAATTAAATAATTATACTCGAAGCGTGTGTGCTTTGTGAGTAGACCCGACCCGACCCAACATATTGATATTGTTTATTTCATTTCAGACCCACTAAGTCCCATTTCCAGTTCTGTGGCTGGCTATATAGATACTAATTATTGGAAGCTCTGTCTTCTACAACTGACCCGACCCAAAAGTGACAAAACAGTTGTTCAAGCCATTCTGTTTCAACTGATAGACCCGACACGACCCATTGTCAATGTTTGTATTGGATTCTAAGCGTATATGCTTTGTGACTTTTTATATCATTTCATACTCACCTGGACCCATTTCAAGATCTGTGACTGGTTTTATAGACCCAGATTAGTAGAAGCGTTGCCTTCTGGATTCGACCCGACCCAAAAAAGATGAACAATTTGTTAAAACAATAATGGTTCAACTGCAAGACCCGACCCGACTCATTACCAATTAAATAATTATACTCGAAGCGTGTGCGCTTTGTGAGTAGACCCGACCCGACCCAACATATTGATATTGTTTATAGCATTTCAGACCCACTAAGACCCACTTCCAGTTCTGTGGCTGTTTATATAGACCCAAATTACTACAATTCCTGTATGTTTCAATTTATAGACCCGACACGACCCATTGTCAATCTTTGTATTGGATTTAAAGCGTACTGGTTATATAGACTCAGATTAGAAGAAGCGTTGGCAATATGACCCGACCCAAAAAATTATGAACCATTGTTAAAACTATAATGGTCCGACCCGACACGACTTATTACCAATTAATTAATAGTACTCGAAGCGTGTAAGCTTTATGAGTAGACCCGACCCAAGAAGTTAATGTTTGTATTGGATTCGAAGTGTATATGCTTTGTAAAAGACCCGATCCAAAATGTATCTATATCATTTTAGACCCATTTCCAGATCTGCGACTGATTTTCTGATTATATAGACTCATTATAAAAGAAGCATACACTTCTCAAGCTGACCCGAACCAAAAATGATGAACATTTTGTTGATGCTAGACTCGATACGGCCCATTTCTAATTTCTTTAATGGTCTCGAAGTTTCTATGGGTCGGGTCTTGTTGACTCGTGACAAGACCCGACCAAACACCAATAAATCTCCAAAAATCCATTTATTTGAATTTGGAGAAGACCACTCGCAAATAGAAAATAATCACAGAAGATAGCAAAGCAAGAGTCATGACTAAATTAAAAACTATAGCATATTTTTAGGCGTCAAATTATATTTTAATGGATTAGGAAGAATGTGAATATCGGCATCAAATATAAGTAGTCTGTAGTATCAGAAACCGATTCAAGCCATTAAAAATATATTATCCCTGCAGAACCGCTTCCATCAACTTCTCCTCAAGCTTCATGCAATGTTTTTTTTTCTGTATTTTCTTTTATAAAAAACAAAACAAAAACATCTAACAGTCCCCTTTCCAATTTTTTGAAAATTGTGGTTACTTTATGTTGTAAATATTTATATATACATATTTAGAAAACAAATAAATTATTATAAAACATTAAATCGAAATAATAATATTAAATGACAAATTTTATAAATATTTTATAATTATTATTATTTTTTTGTAAAGCCAACAGCAATTTTAATTTAATGTAAAACGATATTAAATATTTTAGTTATTTATTTTTTTGTATTTTAATTTGTAAACAAAAAAATGGGAAAGAAAAAACTATTAATATTATAATTATTAATTTAATAAAAAATGCTTTCCTTTACCACTTTAATTTTATTTAAAAAAAAATATGCTTTAAACAAATTTTAAATTTTTTTGCCTTCCTCCTTACGTTTTTGTATTATAATTTAACGTAGACTTATGTTTTTAATGATTATCATTTTTGTAATTTATAAATAAATAAAAAAATTCAATGATAATTATCAAACAATTTTGATATTTTCTGCAAAAGATATACAAACAAAAACAATAATAAGAAAAAATATAATAATTTTGTTATTTTCATTGACAAAAGAAAAAATAATTTTGGGAATAACAATTACAAATTTAGAAAAACAGAATAATATATAATAAACCGTATAAATAATAGACACAAATAATATAAATTATTTTGTATTTTCTATTTATACTATAATAAAAAAGTAAATTATTAAACCCAGAACCAATGTTTTACATAAAATATACTACATAAATAATAAAAAATATATAAATAATAAATTATATATATATATATATATATAATAAAAATTAATAATTTAAAGAATAAAAATATATATAAATAATAAATATATCAATATAAAATCTACTGTATTTTTATCAGTGTATTATATTTATAAAAACAAAATAAATTTAGTAATCTATAACAAATTATTCATTTAATACAACAAATTGTAATAAAACCATATAATATTTATTATACATACATAGAAAATTAATTATAAAACCAAAATTTAAGAAAAAAAACTGAATATCGTTGACATGTTGCAAAAAGCAAAAATATATAACAAACAACTGACCAAGTCTCATTTATTGTCCATTAATTTGCTTTTTACAGAAAAAATAATAATAAAACATACAAAAAACAATAAGCTTTCTACAAAAATATATATAAATTTTGTTTTTATTTTCATTTTTTTTATTTGATTACAAAGTTGGGATTTACTTTAGGCAATTTTAATTGTCTCAA